CTCATCATGATGAGTTCGAATGCATATCTCAGTCCTATCCAGTGTGTAATTTTATGTTATCCTCTCGAATAAGCATTTGCTTAAACCTTGGAGGGTTAGTTGTTCCAATGATCCTACTAACTATAAAGAGCTAAGTGTGTGTGTGCCCATTTATTAGGGAGCAAGCAATGCGAGTCGTAGCAGATGTGCTGCCGATTATTCGCTGATCACTGCCTCCAAGTTATTAACCAATATGATTGATTACTGCCGAGAGCCGAATTTTTTATCCATTGCGAAGCGCGGTACAGTGCAGAATCGCCGTTCGGTAGATGTTAAAACGACGACTCCTGAATCTGGGAGAGGCCTCCTTCCAAATCTTCCTAACATTCCAGAACCGCTCTTTTATTACCGATTTTTCGATTGTTATGGAATAATGTACATAGGATTTGATATTAGATAATAATGTACATTGATTCGCGAGATTCAGGCACCTGCATGGGAATGAATCTTGGATACCCTATCAATCCTGCACGTGATCTCGGACCACGATTGTTTGCGTTCTTCATTTACGGTTCAGAGGTGTTCACGTGAGTTCATTTTTGCGGTGCTATACTAAATTATACAAAATTCATAAACAACCGTATTTAACCTGTAGCTGGAGTAAATGCTTGCATCCTTGACCGCGCGACTGTTCAGCTCGCCAGTGGACCCGTCCTACACCACCTCCATTGCATCACCACCACTCTATACGCACGCAACAATCGTCAACCACAACATTTTGATGATATATGAAGGGAGAAGGGCTAATCGATGAAGCACTGTAGAACGAAATTGAGGAAGCCGTCGGAAACGCGAAATGGGCCCTGGCGCAGCAAGTCATTGTCAGGATGGGTCTTCCGCCGAGCCTTGCTGCACAAAGCCCATGGGGTCTATCCCACAAAATCGAGGCGCACTAATGTCAGTCTACTCGCTGGTCTTGAGCGATAAAAGAGCATGTAATAAAGGCGATCGGAATGAGGTTTACAGACACGGTTTGTTTTTCGAATTGTTGTGTGCTTGTTCGAAAGTTGGCCAGTTGCGAAGAGTAACATTGGTAGGATAAAGCGAAAACCGCCAGACAAAGTCAGATCTTCCTGAAGTCGTCCATGGAACGGCGGAGAGAAACAACGCTGCGAAGAAGTGAAAAAAAAAACGCTGGAGCACGTTGTACGCGAGTGGGCGCGGATGCCGCATTGGCAATAGTGGCGGCGCATGCAGCAATGAAGCAATGGTATTTGCTTTGGCCGATGTCGACTTTGCGAATCGCGCGAATCGCTAGTAGCGAATTGCGCGATTCGCAAAGTCTGACATCGGCCTTTCTTGGCGCGCAACTTCAAGTCGCGATAGTATCTACCTCGTTCAACGACAGCATTTGCTCCGAGGGTCTAATTGCGATCCGTGCTCTTTTAGTGGAAATAGTCCACCACAAGGGAATTCTGAACTCAGATCGCTTGGGTGTCGGACAGGCCAGCCCGTTGCGCTCGGCGGAATTGTACGAGTACGCGGACGCAGTAGCATGTCGGCCGCTGTGCCATGTAGGACGTCATTCAATTGTAAATTTTATTTAATCTGACGCGATATCACTGCAGGACGCGCTACGACTCGACCGCTATTTTGCCTTCTTGTTGCGCGACGGGCCTCCAATTAGGTACCCAGACCGCTCTCACTGCAGTCGCTGACGCTTTGCAGTGCCGGATGGAAAACCACTACTGAAAATAATAGACAATCTGAGCGCTACGTTGACAAACCAAGTCAACAGTTGCTTCGAAAAGCTGAAGCAGTTCTCCCCCACAATCTCGTTCTCTTCCTACTTTAACTCATAAGTACTTCATATCTCTTTGCCTCAATGCAGCTCGAGTGGATTAGCTCTACATTACAAATGCATCTCTGGAAACGTCATGAGCTGCTAAAGACTGGTGTTTAAGAAAAATACCTTTCTGAAGCGAATTTCGACTGAAAAAAGCAGATAAAACATAGCATTCAGGACGCTGATTCAGAATGTCATGCTGTCCTAGTTTTCCAACATGATCGCAGCCATCTATTCACGAACTAGCGCTGGTTACAACCACTGCTCGATCGGCTGCCCAAAACCACTGTTTATGGGTAATGGAGGAAAAGCTTGATTTAATTCAGATATCACAACTACTACTTCTGGATACCGATTGTCGCGCCGTTCTTTCGGAGCTGCTCTAGCGGCGTGGAGTTATCACCTCTTCATCGGTGCTCATATTCCCGATCCGGTGCAGGAGTATGTCCTGGATGAAGTCAAGCAACCCCTGAAATCAGCGTAAGGGCATACAATTCTTATTTATGGGGCTCCGCTTTGTATCAATATGCATGTGTCATTGTGGTGAAAAGAAGGCCAAGATAAGCAGAGAGTAAAGTTTTTTTTTCAGGAACGATGCCTAGTTGCATCCGAGTTCAGGACGATTTGAGAAATCTAACACTTACATGTATTTATTAATTGTGGCATACTGTAGCTGCAAGTTGCTGGTAAAATAGTGTAAGATAGATTCATTTCGCGCGCTCTCAATAGTACAAGGAATCAGTTTCCCCTAGTGATTACTTCTATTTATGTTCTAATTGTTATTATGATGAGGTCTTCACAGTGTTGTGAGCTGATGTCTTCTGTACATTAAATAGTGGTAGCCGTATTCCTGACAGGAAGAAAATGTGTCTACTTTGTCTATGGTTTGTGCTACTGATGAGAATTTGTGCGTTCAGTTCTGTGAAGATAAATATCGTCAAGCTCAGAATTCCTTGTCTCGAAACTTATAAGACCTATCCCTTTCTCTGAGTGTAGTCGTGATTTCTTCGGCAGGGTATGTCCTTTCGAGAATCATGCAATTTCGGCTATTTTACTTTTATGGCAACTGCCTTAACAATGTCGGAAGTTAGCTCTTTATAGGATCGACTGAATCCTTGGGATAATGTGTTGTCTTCAAAACACCCACAAGGTTTTTTTCCCAATATTTTGAGGATTGAAATTGTAATTAAGTCAGGACAAAGGAACTTATATTGAAAGATGCTCTGGAAATGGGAGAAGAGAAGGAAGGTAATGAATATAAAAATCAACACCGACTGCTCTCCTATGATACTAGGTGGAACGAACGAAGGTTTAAGAGAGGCTTCGTAAATAATGCAGAAGGAATAGTGCGCTGGTCGTGTGAGTTTCAGAATTTTTGCAGACTTTTGAAGGTTCGGCATTACTTCCCATAAATTCTTGTGAGTAGTCGCCAGATTTCACGATTCATCGGTGTCTTTTGTGGATGGCTCGCCGAACGTGAATTGCGACGCCATATTAGGCACCGGAATGCTTACTTAGTAGCGTTTTTTCATCACGAGTTCCGGGCCACCAATATTTTAATTCAGAATCCGGGGAGTGAAACAGCATATTCATCGAATGACTCATTAGCACTTTCCCATTTACCAGTATGAAAACCTCGTACGATTAAAGCTAGGAATTTTTTGAGACGAAAAAGAGAGGTAGGTCGGTTTTGACATCATCTGACAAATCATCCCTCTCACTTGCTAAAAGTTAGGCCTGGAAAAGATGTATACAGTTAGTTAGAGTAGGTATACATTGTAAGATGAAAGGTTTTCCACTTTCCAGCCTAACTAGTCAATCTTTTCCGGAGTCTTTTTGCCGTATGGGGTCAAAATCGCACCCTTTTAACACGTGAACGACAACGCGAGTTTTGGCTTTTTTGGCCACGTGGGACCTCGGCGATTTTGCGGGCGCGGCCGCCTCAGGTCGTTCAAGCAGATTTTGAGTGATAAATACATAAATAATGATCAATACAAAACCAGATCAGTAAATTGTAATGAGCACAACCTACCCAGGGGTACAGTAGTGGAATTTCGATCGAAAGACATGGAATAACAATGAAAAAGCGAAATTTGTCAGAACTAGCTGCAATGGACCTCAAAAGCAATTTTACGTTGATTATTTCAATCAAAACACACATATTGTCATCCCTAAGGTTCCGTATCTACTTCTACTACTATTTAAATCTTCACATTCATAAAAAGAAAAAGTAAACGAAAAATTTATTGAAACTGAAGATTTCGTATGGTTCAGAAATCCTCCTCTAAATTGAAGCATACGTGACCATTCTATGGGCCACTATGTTTGTAGCTACGTCAAGGTCTCTTCCATGGAATGAATACAAGAAACTTCTAAAAGAATCAGGCGTGCGCGAAAAAAATGAGTGTAATGGGTGCGGGGGATATATATCCCGCACGGTCCGACATGGCCTGCAATGCGCGGGATATATATCCCCCGCGTTGTCGTCGGTAAAGTTCACATAGGTAGCAGGTGAGCACATTTATCAGAATTTCTTGCGCAATCAACTTCGTGAAAGCGTTTGTCGTCAAGGCAGGGTCGGTCCTATCGTTGCTACTTTTCAAAAAGTTTTTACGACCCCCCTCCCTCATGAAATGTTTCATACGACCCCCTCTTTCAAAACAATTTTTACCCCAAAAAATTACCGTCGAGCGGGGGGGGGGGGGGCGCGCTGAAACGGCAAATTTTCTCCCGCGCCGCTCCCCACTCATCACATGCAACTTCTTACAACCGAAGCAAGTACGACCCCCCTCTACAAACTCATCAAAATACGACCCCCCGTTGCTACTTGTAGCAACATAGGGTTGACCCTGCGTCAAGGACCAATCACTATCAAAGTGTCCTACCACTTCGGCACAAGACTGCCCTGTCTCGATTGATTTACCTAGGGCCTCGATTTCACAATGACTATAAGCTTTCCTTCAACGTCTCCACGTCCCGTGTCTTTTAAAAGAATCGAAGAATCGCTATCATTCTCAACTGTAGCATTCCCTATACAAATGCAATGATGCTCCGGCTGGGGGAATCTGTAGCTACCAGCCCGACTTTGAAGCATTTGGTTACCCACATGCGAATTTGCACACTATACCCTAGCGAATTGCTCGAAAAAAATAAAAATGTAAGGGAAAGTGAAATTGTGAACCAACAAAAGAAATAATAAGCAACATATTGCACAATACTTTCTGGGATATTGATTTGCCATGGTAACCAGCCGCAAAAATTTCTGAACCCATGAATTTGTCAAGGCGCATCAAAGCCGGAGGTCATTAGCGTCGTTCGGCGTACCTGAGTCTGGGAAGAGCCTTTTGCCCTCCCAGCGTTAAGCACAAACATAATCCTTTATTGTTGGCTTGCTCGATACTCTTGATATTGAAACTCGACCAGTAGAAATTTACAGATAGGTGCATGACAGAGGGCAAGTCAAGATTAGCTGAAAGTATTTTTCCATGGTGTCGTTTTCTTCTTGAAACTCCTCGAGATCATGTAGGCCCTATTGGATGCCTGCATATAAGGACATTTATTTCCGAAAGTCAATGACCAATCAAGAACCCGACAAAGAGGCAGGACTCAGGCGCGAGAGTTAAGCGATAAGAATTACAGCGGTAAGAGCATCTTGTTTATATAGAGGAAAGCTTGTAGAAGCTTATGACATTCCGTCCATCAAAAAATCTGGGACCAATCCTACGATTTCCCCGGTCTTCCCAACAAATCCCATTAAAGCAATTCGTTAACTCTATCATGTGTTCAATTGAATGCGCGCAGATTCGAAAACAAAATTCCACAATTTCACGTTTCATTGGGCACATCAATCCATATTTGCTCTTTGTCACGGTTGTGGCTCAGTAACAGGATTGCTAACTCCGATATTTCGAGTGGGTTTCTTTATTCGGTTGTGAGAAAAGATAGATCCGGCAGAAAAGGAGAGGTGTCTGTGCTGTAATTCACAGTCTCGTTCTTTTTGAACGAATACACCCAACTGCACTGATCTTACGGCGAATGTGATGTGCTTTGACATCTTTCTTGAGTGCAACATGGAAACAGATCCCTCCTGATTCACCGACCCTCCAATTCCTCAAGTCTACAATATGAGCTCTCAGCATCAATTTATTTGACGTCGCATGTGAGATGTTCTTCCTGACAACAGTGGTAGGCGATGTGAAATTTATACGAAGTTATTACGAATCGCACCGGCAATTCACCCCAGCAAGGAAATTCTTCCCCATTCTCGATGCCTTATCACTTCTCCAATTTGTTAGTTTTCCCATTCGCTTCGGCACGGTCTTTGATGTTGTACACTGGTGTGCAAAACTTGAAGAAGATATAGTAAATTGTCATAGCTTATTAACAACTCGATGGAATTGGAAGAAACTCAGCAAGCGTACTGTTAAAAGCCTCACAGCCATGGAAGTGAAAGTGGGCCTCATATGTACAGCAGTCGGTTTCAGTCTGGAGGCCAAAGGAGTGTCACGTTAGACACGAATGGGATCGGCGCGCAGACTGGAGAGGATGGAGTTTGTACTGAGCCGGAGAAGGTACCGTTGGAAGTAGGGGTTTCTCGATTACAGACACGTCTCAGAGACAACGCGAGGGTGACACCACGCGAAGAATTCGCGGAAACTGGAAGAAGGAAGATCTGTAGCGAGTGTGGTCCAGGAGTTTGATGTGCTCACACCATTATTTTGTGCGCATAAGGAGCAATACGGACTGCAGCCACTGCTGCCTTTGAAGATAGGTGGATCACGATTCAACTGCAACAGCAGGTGATTGCTACGTTTTGCAATAGGCAAGAATGGACCTGAGTAGGCTGCGGTTGCAAAAACATTTCATCAGGACTGTAAGGCACACAATTCCAGGATGACAGTGGTTCGGTGGCCGTACAGTCATGGTTTCTCTGACTGACCAACAGTATCTGGTGTTCGTTCGAAACCCGCGAATTGGCGACAACATTCGCTAGGTGCTGGGACATTGGCGATGGACCACTGATTTGGTTGATCGCGTGTTCTTGTTCAAGTTCGTACCAACCTCATGATCGCGTGGTGCTTTCTGATTGATGTATTGTGACGTTGAACTCCTCACTTATGCGCATCATTTAAAGGGTGCCTTTGACCTGAAACTTCAATCGTATGAAGGGCAGTGTGAGATGAGCATCGAGCAGCCCGGGTGGAAAACTCCTAGAGAGCGAGTATTTCCAGCAATGGAGCCTGCCCCAGCAAATCTCATGGAGCACATGTGGCGTTCATTTAGGAGAGCTACTGTAGCGCATCCCCATACGCCAACAGCTGTCCAGCAATTGTAACTCGCGGTCTTCAAGAAATGGATCGCTCTCCACAAGAACTTTTAACCAACCTAGCGACCAGTTTTGGAACACGTTGCAGAGTTGCTTGTAGTGTTCATATATACCCCATCAAGAACCAGCTCCTCTCTTTTGAATGTCTACCATGAGTTGGAGAAGCCTCACCTATCGACCGCTTCAGACAGGGTATTTGCAGAAAAATGTCTTTTCCAATCGCCCCTTTGCGCTTTTCTGTTAGTAACTCTCTGCACTGTACCGCAACATTTACTT